TTCCGCCTCAGCCTTCCAAGTAGCCAGAACTACAGGCGCGCGCTACCATGCCCGGCTCATTTTTTTTGATTTACTGTAGAGATGAGGTCTCGCTAAGTTGCCCAGGCGGGTCTCGAACCCACGGGCTCGGGCAATCCACTCACCTCAGCCTCCCAAAGGCACGGGATTACAGGCTGAGCCACCGAGCCCGGCTAAGACAATGTAAATTAATATCACAATATCACTTCCTATGTACTAGGATGGCTATAATAAAAAAGATCAATACTAACAGTGTTGGTAAGGATGTGGAGAAACTGGAACCCTCAAACACTGATGATGAGAATGTAAAATGGGTGCAGCCATGTGAGGAACATGGCCAGGTCTCAGGTCTAGACATAACTCATCACCTGGGGAGATACTACAGTGGTTTGGAGGACAAGGAAATACAAACTAAAATCACACTGAAATATTGCTATACACCCACTGTTGGTGGCTATAGTAAAAAAGATGGAAAATACCAAGTGTTGACAAGGATGTGGAGCACCTAGAGCTCCCATACCATGTTTTGGGCGTATATATTGGCACAGTCACTTTGGACAACTGGTTTTATAAGATATAGCTGAACATATGAATATACTATGGCCTGTCAGTTCAACTCCTAACAGAAATTTGTACGTAAGTTCACAAATAGATAGCAGCACTATTCCTAAATAGGCTCAAGCTACAAACAACCCAAATGCCTACCAACAGTAGAAATGGATAAATTATATTGCAGAATTATCACACAATGGGATACAACATGACAATAAGAATGAATTATCTACAACTATATGCAACAATATGGATGAATCTCACATTCATAATGTGAAGGATAGTAGACACTAAAGAGTATATCACTCAATTATATGATATATAATTGTTTGACTCAATTTATATGAAATAAAAAACAGACAAAGCGATTCTATGCCATTAGAAGTCAGGATAGTGTTTACCCTTGGGGGGTGGCCTGGAAGGGTGTATGGGGAGGAATTCTGGGGTGCTGGCCATGTTTTGTTTCTTGATCTGAGTATGCTCCATTTGTGAGAATGCCCTGAGCTGTATGATTATGATATATGCCTTTTCTGTATGCATTATAGTTTAATAAAATATATATATATATTTATATTCTAAGAAAATCTTGGCCTCCCAAAGAGCAGGATTACAGGCTGAGCCACCAAGCCCGGCTAAAATATTTTAAAATAAAAGAAAAATAAGATTGCATGCTATAGAGGAAGCCCCTTTTAATGAGTATTGTAAAAAATGTTCAAGGAAAAATGAGAACGTATCTATATATCATTGTTACAAAAAAGCAGTGTTCTTTCTAGAGAAGTCTTCCAATTATTCAACTGCAATAAACTATAATTATATCCGAAAATAACCAATTGCAATGCAACATGACTTTATGCCATAGCAATCTACACAAAACTACCCTTAATGTGCATGTAGAAAATGAATATATCTTAACCAAATTGGAAGAAAAATAAAAGTTTATGTATTGAAATCCAATTTCTCAACCATTCTTTTTCAAACAGGAATCCCAAGGAAAGCAGAGGTGTCAGTGAACAAGACTGAAAATCCAGAGTGCTGTGGCTCAGTTCCATTGTCTTAGGGTCAGTTACAAGAAGATAAAGAGTCTATGGTCTGCAGCTTACATACATGTTAGCTTTGGGGGCACAGGTTAGAAGGCATGCATACCTTTTATAGAATGTGATTCACCTGCTGCCCCAGCAAGGAATTAATAAGGAGATCACTGCCTGCCACCTTCAGATGTCTGTAACATTCAATGACGATTTTCCTGTATCATAGCCTGGAGCTATGCTAATTTCCCAATTTATGAAGTCGTACTTTAAGTTTAAAAATTCTGTTTCAGCTGGGCTCAGTGGCTCAGCCTGTAATCCCGCGCTTTGGGAGGCTGAAGTGAGTGGATTGCCTGAGCCTGTGGGTTCGAGACCCGCCTGGGCAAATTAGCGAGACCTCATCTCTACACTAAATCAAAAAATTAGCCGGGCGTGGTAGTGCACGCCTGTAGTTCCAGCTACTTGGAAGGCTGAGGCGGAAGGATCGCCAGAGCCCAGCAGGTCGAGGTTGCGGTGACCGGGAGCGGCCACTGCACTCCAGTCTGGGCGACAGAGTGAGACTTCAACTCAAAAAAAAAAAAAAAAAAAAAATTCTGTTTCACATAAAAAATATATACGATAGTAACTTCCCAAAGGGAAAAGAAAATATTTTTTTCATGGGAATCTTGTCTGTGTCTTAAATGTCAACGGTCACAAAAACCTCTGGCTTCTACTCATAGATCTGCATGCCCAAATTTGTTTTTGCTTTGATGTCGAAGCCCTGCAAGTGTTTAAACAATGAAAACTCTTCTCCTCAACCAAAAAATCTGAAATAATTTTGCCCAGTATTGAATACTTTTATGTCCCAGGGTATGATGAACCAATCAGTGTTGAATTTATAAAGTCCTTTATCTAAAAGCTGAAACATAAGGGATGACAAGTCATCTCCTCAGATCTTTATTTCTACCATTTTTTTAAAGTGAGAAAGCAGGATTTATTGAGAGGCAAGAAAAGCTCTCACAGTGGGAGGGGACCCAAGGGGTTGCCCTATTTCTACCATTTTTAGGAGCTTGAGAGTCCCTGTGTCAATCATGTAACCAAACATAACTATTGCTCAAATGCTTTATCTAAAAGGTCTCCCTATGAATAGAATTGCAGTGATGCAGGAGTTTGTTTCCAATGTACCGAAGGATACTTGGCTCTGTTTGCCTTCTGTTCACTCAAGCCAGTCTCTCATATCTACTCCCTCCTACACAATGGTTGCAGCATCAGGCATTCCTCTCCTCCACTATGAGACACCTGATGCATACCCAGTTGTGATTTCCAGGTGAAGGCTTTTTCATTCACTGGCTTTATAGTGTTTTTCTCCACTATGTGTTTTCTGGTGTTTAATAAGATTCGATCTGTCAGTGAAGGCTTTCTGACATTCTGTACAAGCATAAGGTTTTTTTCCTGTATGAATTATCTGATGCATGCTTAGTGTTGCTTTCTGAATGAAAGCTTTCCCACATTTGCTGCATTGATAGTGTCTCTCTCCAGTATGAGATTTCTGATGGATACTGAGGCGTGACTTCCAGGTGAAGGTTTTTCCACAGTCACTGCATTTATAGGGTTTCTCCCTAGTATGGATTTTCTGGTGTGTTATGAGATTTGACCTGTCTGTGAAGGCCTTCCCACACTCTGCACATATATTGGGCTTCTCGCCTGTGTGGATTTTCTGATGCACGCGGAGTTGTGACTTCTTAGTGAAGCACTTCCCACAGTCATTGCATTCATAGGGCTTCTCTCCAGTGTGAATTCTATGATGTGCAATGAAATGTGATTTCTGAATAAAAGCCTTTCCACATTCAGGACAAACGTAGGGTTTCTCTCCTGTATGGATTCTCTGATGCACACTGAGTGTTGATTTTTGGATAAAGGCTTTCCCACATTCTTTGCATTCATAGTGTCTCTCTCCAACATGGGATTTCTGATGTATTTTGAGGCGTGACTTCCATATGAAGGCTTTTCCACAGCCATTGCATTTGTAGGGTTTCTCTCCAGTGTGAGTTTTCTGGTGTTTAATGAGATTTGACTGATCAGTAAATGCCTTCCCACATTCAGCACACATATAGGGTTTTTCCCCAGTATGAGTTTTCTGATGTGTAGTGAGATTGGTCCTATGAGTGAAGACCTTTCCACATTCTGTACAGATATAGGGTTTCTCTCCTGTGTGGATTCTTTGATGCACATGGAGTTGTGACTTCTTAGTGAATGATTTCCCACAGTCACTGCATTCGTAAGGCTTTTCTCCGGTATGAATTCTCTGATGTGTATTGAAGTGTGATTTCTGGATGAAGGCCTTTCCACATTCAGTGCATACGTAAGGTTTCTCTCCCGTATGAATTCTCTGATGCATCCTGAGTGCTGATTTTCTTGTGAAGGCTTTACCACATTCACTGCATTCATAGTGCTTCTCTCCAGTATGAGTTTTCTGATGTATACTGAGGTCTGAGTTCTGGGAGAAGCCTTTTCCACATTCACTGCATTCAAAAGGTTTTTCTCCTGTATGAATTCTCAGATGTCTAAAGAGATCTGATCTCTGGAAAAAGGCTTTTCCACATTCACTGCATTTATAGGGTTTCTGCCCAGTATGGATTTTTTGATGTGTAATGAGGTTTGACTTGAGGGTAAAGGCCTTCCCACATTGAATACAGAGATACGGTTTTTCTCCTGTATAAACATTCTGATGTATGTTCACTTGTGGCTTCTGAGTGAAGACTTTGTCACTGTTGTCACATTCATGGGACTTTTCTCCAGCATGAATTTTCTGATGCCCAAAGAGATGTGACTTCTGGGTGAAGCCCTTTACACATTCAGTATACACATGAAGTTTCTCCTCAGTATCCATTTTCTGATGGTGGATGAGAGCTTGTTTGTAGCTGAGATGTTTTTCACATTGATTAAGTTCAAAGGAATTTGCTCCTGTCTTAGTTTCCTCATTCTTAGTAGAAGAAAAGCTATGGGTAAAATTGTTATCATTTCCAAAAATCTTACCACGAGTCTTTGTTGAACTGTTTCTATGATGATTATGTAAGGTTAAAGTATGCCTCAAACTCTTTCCAAATGTGTCACAGTTATGGAGTCTTTTAATTGAAGGAACAAGCTTGGTAGTCACATGACTTATTTTTTTCATGTTTTTACATTCATAGTCACTCTCCTTAATCAATACTTTCACATGACTTAAAAAGTTATTCTGGTTTTCCTGACATCTTTCTAGCTGGTCCTTATCTTGCCACAGTTCTTGTAAAATGGAACACAATGAATCTTGTCCTATGGGCCGATCAAATCTCTCACAGTAGAATGAAACTTTTTCAGAAATTCCCTGTTGAGTTTTCCCAGCAGTCTCATCTAAAAAGAAAAAGAAATGAAATGACACAAAGAACAATTAACAGAGGATAGAGGGTATGTGTAGTTCAGGCAGGACGAACACAGAGAAATGGCAGCATCTGTAACACAATACTAGTATCAATAATGTAGTAATGTAAAATTCTTATAGAACACTTAATAGACACAAAACAACTCTATAACATTCATGATGCACCAGGCACGTTTCCAAGTGCTTTATACATAATAGCTCATTTAATCCTCACTAAACCCCACGAGGCAGCTACCATTATCAATTGCTTTACAACTGAGAAAACAGAGACACAGAGCAGTTATGTAACTTGCTGAAGATCAAATAGCTAAATACATGGGAGATATGGGATTTGAACCCTGGTGGTTCAGCTCCACTATGTAAGAGTCTGGATAGTGAGTAGAACAACCAGAAGAAGAAACTAAAGCCTGTTGGGGGAAGCCTGGCATGGAAGAAATATTTCAGAAGGTGTGTCCTTATTACATATCAGCTTGAACACCTTTCTGACCTCTCTGCTTCTTCTTGCTCTTCCCTCTAAACCATTATGAACATAAACACTATATTTACATGCCTCAAACACCTATTTCTTTATAGCTATAGGAAGACTGTTGCAACATCATCATCTTGACACAAACAGTAAATAGGTATCCGTGCTCCAACTCTATAACCAGCTGCAAATTTCTCTTGGTCCTAGGAATACAAGCTCACATGTTTGACCACATAACATATATTTTAGTACCCTGCGTTTCCCCTTTCTTTTGTGTCACTGACACACCCATCTTTTCCTTTGGCTACTTTTTTGGGTGAGAGGGACTTCCCTGGATACAGATTTTTAATAACCACCACATGGTAGAATAAATGCTAGATTTCAAGTCTGAACACGTGAGATCAAGTTCAAGCCCTCTTTCCCACTAGTCATGTCACCCTAGACCTCTCCACCTCCTTCACCTGGAAGAAGAGTGAGGACAGTACCAATTCTGTCCTCTCACAAGAAGTGTAAAATAGGATAAGGAAAGCCATCTGTGGCAAAAACAGCAAGCTCTGCGCTGAGATCTAGTCTCTCCTTCTTCCATAGAAATAGAATGCAGCTGGCCTTATAGCCACAAGCTTCACTTTGTTCTCACCAATGGACTATGAGCAGAAGCGATACATGCTGCCTCCAGGCAAGCCTTCAGAGAGTGGGCAAGTCTCCTCCATCCTTTTTTCCTTCTTCTTACTGGACTCTATGGTGACTCAACGTTAACCATGCAGCTGATAACAATGCCCTAGGAGATGGCAGAGCAATGACATGGAATATGGTCCCTGATGATGCATCAGGATTAGAGTTGACTGGGCGAACTGGAGCCATTCACCTCAGAATTATTCTTTAAGAAAAGATAAGCTGGGCATGGTGGCTCATGCTCGTAATCCCAGCACTTTGGGAGGCAGAGGCAAGAGGACTGCCTGAGCCCAGGGATTTGAGATGAGTCTGGGCATCTTGGTGAGACCTGCTCTCTACAATAAATAAAAACATTAGCTGGGTGCGGTGGTGTGTGCCTGTGGTTCCAGCTACTTGGAAGGCTGAGCCCAGCAGGTCAAGGCTGTAGTGGCCATGAGCATGCCACTGCACTCCAGCCTGGATGACAGAGTGAGACTCCAACTCAAAAAAAAAAAAAAAAGAAAGGAAAGAGAGAAATCTATATTTAGCCTCTTGTTCTGCTCATCTGTGCATATTCAAAATGCATTGTCCTTTTAGATATTAGCTCAAGTTTCAGTATACCTCTAGGGGGCTTATATTTGCTATGAATTTATATAGCAGACACTGTATCATTCATATTGATACTCAATTTGGCACAGATTTTTTTTTCAGTTGGTCTCACTCTGTTACCCAGGCTGGAGTACAGTGACACACTCATGGCCACCACAGCCTCGATCTTCTACCTCAGTCTTCCAAGTAGTTGAAACTATAGGCGTGCACCACCATGCCCGGCTTATTTATTTATTTATTTATTTATTTATTTACTGTAGAGATGAGGTCTTGCCAAGTTGTCCGGCCTGGTCTCAAAACTCTGAGCTCAGACAATCCTCTTGCCTTCACTTCCCAAAGTGTTGGGATTATAGGTGTGAGCCACTGCGCCTGGCTCTTTTGCAGTTTTATAATAGAAAATACAAATATACAAAGGGTAGACATGTCAACATTTCATGGCTGTCTTTCCTTTCCAAATATATAATAATATTTATGTTATTGAATTATTTACTAAATATTTTCTACAGATTTCACTTCAGAAAACTGAAGAATACATGGGCCAGTTATCAATTTATTGCCTCTCAGTTTCAAATTCACCCTTCCTTGCCTGTTCTACAAAAATAGATCTGAATCGTTTTTATTTTTTATTTTTTTTGAGTCAGAGTCTCACTCTGTAGCTCAGGCTGGAATGCAGTGACATGATTATGGCTCACTGCAGCCTTGAACTCCTGGGCTCAGGTGATCCTCTCACCTCAGCCTCCTGGGTAGCTGGGACTACAGGAACATGCCTCCTCGCCCAGCTAATTTTTTGTGATTCATTATAGAGACAAGGTCTCACCAAGTTGCCCAGGCTGGTCTCAAACCCCCGGGCTCAGGCAATCCTCTTGCCTCGGCCTCCCAAAGTGTTAGGATTACAGGTTGAGCCACCGTGCCCAGCCAAGACAGGTTTCTGACGGGTGAGGTGATGATTCTGACTTCTGATGTAGTGAGGATCAAGAGAAACATCTCATAAGAACTCTCTGTGTAGCTAAACATAGCACTAAAGTACCAGTGAAATACAGAGGCTGAGGATGGCAAAAGAGAAGCCACCAGAATTTCAGCATGGCTGGATCCCTGCATGAGCATGAAGAAAAGACTGGTGAACAGGAGACAAGAACCCCAGAGGAACCTCATTTATGGGGAAAATGAGAAAGAGAAAGAGAAGGCTAGAAAAAAAGGAAAAATAATAAATTGGATGCAAATCAGTAAGAGACAGACAATTGAGGCAGAACAATGAAACATGGGAAATATGATGAACAAGTTAATTCATGGGAAGGAAATTCAAAGACATAACAGGTAAATAATGAAATATTCAAACTAGGTATTAGAGAAATGCAAAATAAAAATGAGATACCACTTTACACCCATTTTTGGCCCAAAATGAGAAACTTTGGTACTATTAATTGTTAGCAGAAACATTGGGAAAGCAGGAACCTTTGTGCACTGTTGCTAGGAGTATAGATTAGTGAAGCCAATCTGAGAATAATACAGTGGTACTCAGTCAAGTTCCAGACAAGAATATTCAATGATTAGGTAAACCCTCTCTTCTCTACACATTTCTAAGAAATTCTCACAACCCCATAAAGAAACATTATGTAGAAATTTATTGCAGTTGTTTACATTAGATGAGAGCTGGACACAACCCTCAGTGTCCATGATTGGGTGAATGGTGAAGTAAGCTGTGGTGCTGGCACACTGTGGAATACTACGAAGCAATTTGGCGAACAAAATCAGATGAGCATACAACAGTATGGACAGATCATATGAATGAGTGAAAAAAAAGGAACAGAGGTCGACACAAGTGAATTGCCTGAGCCCGCAGGCTTGAGACCAGCCTGGGCAACTTGGCAAGACTTCGTCTCTACAAGAAATAAAAAATTAGCTGGGCGTGGTAGTGCATGCCTGTAGTTCCGGCTACTTGGAAGGCTGAGGCAGAAGGATCGCCAGAGCCCAGCAGGCCGATGCTGGGGTGGCTGTGAGCGTGTCACGGCATTCCAGCATGAGCGACAGAGTGAGAGTCCAACTCAAAAAAAAAAAAAAAAAAGAAACAGAATTAAGACATATAACACAATATAATTTGTATATACATACTCATAAAGCAATACATACAATAAAGCAATACTTTAGGTTTTAAGAGAATATCACACAAATTCATGGTTCAAACACATTAGACCAGTTGCCCATGGGAGGAGGCATAAGGAATGGATATGGAGAATTGAAATACAAGGGAAGAGGCCGGGCTCGGTGGCTCAGCTTGTAATCCCAGCACTTTGGGAGGCCGAGGCAAGTGAATTGCCTGAGCCCGTGGGTTCGAGACCAGCCCGGGCAACTTGGTGAGACCTCGTCTCTACAACAAATAAAAAATTAGCCGGGCGTGATGGTACACGCCTGTAGTTCTGGCTACTTGGAAGGCTGAGGCAGAAGAATCGCTGGAGCCCAGCAGGTCGACGCTGGGGTGGTCGTGAGTGTGCCACTGCACTCCAGCCTGGGCGACAGAGTGAGACTCCAATAAAAAAAAAAAGAAATACAAGGGAAGAAATTTACAAACACTTGAATGTACAAGGAAGGAATCTAAGATCAGGGATGGGAGTGGAGTAGAACGAACAAAAAAGTCCTAGATAAGATGGGGTGGTATGTGATTTAGGGTAGAGATTAGAGCCAACTCTTGCCAAAAAGCCAAGCCAAGAGGGTAATGGATATTGGGAAGGGTCATACTTGGAGATGGCATTTCGGTATATGAGGGGCTAATGCCAACTATCTCCAAAAGTTTAGAACTTTCTATCTTCACAGCCTTTCAAAGGCATTGACCTCTCCTAGGAAAAGTGAGATTGACTTCCATGTCTCCATCTGCCTAGATCACTCACTCACCTGAACAGCTCTGATGAGGGGCTTCCACCTCCAATGTCCACAGCCCCTCTCCTTGCTCCAACTTGAAGGTAGCCTCTGGTTTGGGAATTTGGTACCCTGTTAACAGGACATGATATAGGATTGGTCCAGCTGATTGGATTTCAAGGGCCTTTCATTGGCACTCACTTGCTCTTCAGAAAAGTAATCACGTTTCACTGGGAACAGAGTCATAATCACAGAGGTGAGAAGGGACTGAATAAGCCCAGACAAATCAAGGATGGTACCATCATGCAGTCTAGATGTCAGGCAGCACTCAGCAGCTGAGAATAGAAACGCCCTCACTGGGGCCCCTCGCAGATACATAGGGTGGCTGTGCTTACCCACTGAGAGCAGGTGACTGTAGTTCTCCAGTGTCACATCCCAGTACAGGTGTCTCTGAGCACGGTCCAAGTGCTGCCACTCCTCTCTGCTGAAGTCCACGGTCACATCCTCAAATGACACTGACATCTGTAACAACACAATCCTGTTCAAGCAGCATGGTCATCACCGGGGGATGGAAGAACACAGACAGGAAGTAATTCTTCATGCTTTTTCCCGTAAGGTGTCATGTAGAGTTTTTGCTAAATACCTAATTATGTGTTTTATTTTGTAAGAGGAAAAAAAAAACTTATTAAAGTATCTCGACATTCATTATGTACTACATTCGTTCATTTAATCATTCAGTCATTCTTCTTTCAAAAATGAGGATATAAATGGGCTCTTTTTAAGTCCTTTACTTAACTTAGGACTAGATAAAATACAATAACTGACTGATTATGTGCTAGATGATATGCTAGGCAATGGTGATAAAGAGTTGAATAAAACATAAAACAACTTAAAGACATGGATAACCAGCATAGGAAGACACAAGGCGGGCTTTAGGCATTTGGAAGAAAAGTATAGGAGGTATAAGGTTAGGTTTCAGAGAGACCATGGAGTAAGAGTTATCTAGAAGGGAGAAGGATGAGCAAAAGTGTGGAGGAAGGAAAATAGAAAAAATACTTGGTGGAGTCAGGGAATTGCAAATAGTTCCATGTAAAGGAGAAAAGTCTGTGTAGTATAATGAGAAGGTGGTTATGAGGAAAATTCAGTAGAGATACATGGGTCAGGACAAGGAGCAAGTCTTTTTTTCTAGTAGAAAATGGACTGCTACTTACATGCAGGAAAGATGTGATCATAATTGTGTGCATTTAAGCCAGGAGTAATGACTTATGCCTGTAATCCCAGCACTTTGGGAGGCAGAGGTGAGAGGATTGCCTGAGCCCAGGGGCTTGAGACTAGCCTGGGCGACATGGCAAGACCTTGTCTCTACAATAAATCAAAAAATTAGCCAGCTGTGGTGGTGTGCGCCTGTAGTTCCAGTTACTTGGAAGGCTAAGGCAAAAGGACCACCTGAGTCCAGCAGGTCTAGGCTGCAGTGGCTGTGAGTGTGCCACTGCACTCCAGCCTGGGAGACAGAGTGAGACTCGGACTCAAAAGCAAACAAGCAAACAAAACAGCATTCAAGATGCATCATAGTGAATGTAATGGCCTAGGACATTATTGTACACTACTGTAGACTTTATAAACACTATATACTTAGGCTACACTAAATTTATACAAAATTTTTTCTCAATAATAATCTTTAGCTTACTGTATTTTTTACTTCATAAACTTGTGGCAACATGTGAAACTTTTTACTCTTTTGTAATAACAGTTTAAAACAAACACATTGTATAGCTGTACACAAATAATTTCTCTCTTTATACCCTTATTCTATAAACTTCTGAAACTTTTTTTTGCTAAAAACGAAGACACACACACACACACACACACACACACACACCCACACCCACACCCACACACACACACACACACACCCACACCCACACACACATCAGCATAGGCCTACACAGGGTCAGGATCATCTATATCACTGTCTTTCTCCTCCACATCTTGTCCTATTGGGAGGTCTTCAGAAGGCAATAACACGCATAGAGCTGTCATCTCCTATGACAACAATGCCTTCTTCTAAAATACCTCCTGAAGGACCTGCATGAGCCTGTTGTATAGTTAATTATTTTTTTAGTAAGTAGAGAGAGTACACTCTAAAATAACAGTAAAAAGTATAGCATGGTAAATACTTTAACCATTAACATAGTCGTTTATTATCATTGTCAAGTATTATGTACAGTACATAATTGTGTATGGTACATTTTTATATGACTGGCAATGCAGTAGGTTTGCTTATACCAGCATCACCTCAAACACATAAAAAATATATGTTGCATTAAGTTATGACAGCTACAACAGCCCTGGGTGACAGGAATTTTTCAGCTCAATTATAATTTTATGGAACCACCATCGTATATGTGGTCCATTGTTGACAGAAACATTGTTATGTGGCACATGAGTGCATATATAAAGCAAAAAGATAAGAAGACTCGGAAAGTTGGAGAGAAAAGTGCCAGGGGTCTTGGAGCCTGAGGAATGACTCGTCAGTGAGCTCCCTGTGTTTTCTTCTTGCCTCATATATCCTGAACTAGGTGCTGGAGAAGCTGGCAACCCAGAAGGCCAATGGGCACAGATAAAAATAGCCCCAAGAAAAGCCTGCTGTCTCTAGTCAAAGAACCAGGAAAGGGGCAATGTAGCAAGACAGAAAAATGTAGATAATAGCTGCTGGCCGGGCGTGGTGGTTCATGCCTATAAACCCAGCCCTTTGGGAGGCGGAGACGAGAGGATTGCCTGAGCCCAGGGTTTTGAGACCAGCCTGGGTAACCTGGTGAGACCTCGTCTCTACAATAAATCAAAAATTAGTCGGGCATGGTAGTGTGCGCCTGTAGTTCTGGCTACTCAGCAGACTGAGGCAGAAGGATCACCGGAGCCCAGCAGGTCAACGCTGCGGTGGCCGTGAGCGTGCCACTGCACTCCAGCCTGGGTGACAGTGACTCTGACTCAAGAAAAAAACAAAAAAGAAAGAAATCATAGACTGACATATGCTGCAACATGGAAAGGGGCAATGTAGCAAGACAGAAAAATTTAGATCATAAGTGCTCTACTCCAGTCAAGCATCACAGAAAAAATTGCAGCCCCATCCATTCCCATCAGCCAAAGCCTAGCAGGGAGCCTAGATTGTTATCTGTGCCTGAGGGTGAGTCTCTTCCCTAGTGTCAATTTGAAATATGAAAAACACTGAAACATTTTAAGAAGCATTTGAAGAATAAAGGCTGAAAATTTCTCAAATTTGTCAAAAAAAATTTAGCAATTTAAGAAGCTGAGCCAACCCCTAAGGGATAAACCAAAGAAACTAGACTCATCATAATCAAACTTCAAAACTAAAGACAGACGGAGCACGGTGGCTCATGCCTGTAATCCCAGCATTGAAAAAACATGCTGAGTGAAAGAAACCAGACACAAATACCACATATTAGATGATTCCATTCATATGAAATATCTAGAACAGAGAAGTGTACAGAGACAGATTAGTGGTTGCTTAGGGTTGAGGGAGGTGGGAAGGGATGGGGGGTGATGACTAAAGGGTGTGGAGTTTATTTCTGAGGTGATGGAAATGTTACAAAATTGATTTTGCTACTCAGATTGTCCCAGATTTGGCCAGAGGGAACTCCTGCAAGCTGACTCCTGCGTCCTTTGGATGTGCCCCCATTTTTTGAGCACTTCCTCACTTTCCAGCACGAGTTCTTCCAGGATCATTTGGTTCTTTCTTTGTCCTAGCCCTGGTGTCAGTCATTTCCTCCACAAAGCTCTAGTTCCTATTAATGGCAAGTGGTATTTATAAATTAAGGTGTGCTCATTGTGCCTGGCATGTCATTGTCCTTTCAGTGGCCAAAGCTAGGAATATTTCTCCTTACAGTAAAATGCCAACTAATAAATGCAGAAGGAATAATACAATTAGAAAAACACCATTAGGGAAACAGCACAGCAATTCATTGTTACAGGCAAGACTCATTTATGGATGCTAAAGTCAGTGGATAAAAATATGAGAAATAGGGTATTTACATAGTCCCAAAGTATCTCCCCACAAAGTACTTAGTAATTACAAAGGAGAGGAGAGTAACTTTACAGTGGAGGTGACTGACCAACAGTACTTTAACCAGGTGCTCTGTCTGGCTCTCTTCCACCTCCTGTCTCAGGGCTGCTCTCACTCCTGTCCCAGGATGTTTCTATATCCCTCTTGTGGTGTGAACCTGTCCTTACACTCTGCCTGAGGCCTAGCAGAAGGGCTTCCAGGCCGCTTAGGAGCATGGCTGGAAGTGTGCAGTGAGGGCTTGGCTCACTGTGCCCTCACCTGGGGCTAGGGACCCAGCTGCTCTGCAGGGTTGCCTTGGCTGGGGGTACCCTGATCTTTGTAAGAGAGTTTTCCAGGTGTCCTTGGACCAACTCAGTTCTCCCTACTTTCTCATTTGTAGTTCTCAAGAATGCAACATCCTGAGCTGTGGAGTAACTGGCCAGAACAGCCAGGGCTCTCCTAGAAACAGGATGTTCATCAGCGTTAGTCCCATGCATTGGGTGGCCCCGGAGTGTAAAACCCAGGGAGGGCTCCTTCCTGGAGTTCCTCAGTTGTGTGGTACACACAGATGAGACTCCATCCACCTGAAGCAGCTTTCCTAGACTTCTGTTGTCCCTTGCTGTCTGGCTGTAATAAACCTGCTCCATGTAACTAGCGTGGATGGGTGTTCTGTCTCATGAGACTCAGGTTGGTAGCCAGTGCAGTGACCCTGCTTCACAGTCTTTGCTTCTCCCTATTCACATGACTATATTCCAGTTTCCTGGGACTGTCCTCTGCACACCTGAAACTGCTCCTCTCTCCCTGTGGCTTTCCCTGCTTCCCCTGGCACTTCCTGTTTTCAGATTTCCTAGACATCCCCTGCTCCCTCTGCTGGTCCTTGCGCTCTCTGGTGTTCCCCATTTGGCTATTTCTTGTTCTCTCTGCCTCTTCCTTGATCCCTTTGTTCGCTATTCCTTTATTTTTTTATTTATATATATTTTTAGTTGGAGGCTCACTCTGTCGCCCAGACTGGAGTGCAGTGGCCGCTCCCGGCCACCGCAGCCTCGACCTGCTGGGCTCCGACGATCCTTCTGCCTCAGCCTTCCAAGTAGCCGGAATTACAGGCGCGCGCTACCATGCCCGGCTAATTTTTTTGATTTATTGTAGAGATGAGGTCTCGCCAAGTTGCCCAGGCGGGTCTCGAACCGGCGGACTCAGGCAATCCACTCACCTCAGACTCCCAAAGCGCAGGATTACAGGCTGAGCCACCGTGCCCGGCTGCTATTCCCTTTAAATGTCTTGTTCCTTCTGAGTGCCCATGTTCTTATTTATTGCTTCCTTTGACTACCTGAGTCTCTCAAACTGTTTCCGCCTCCTGTTTCCTGTTCTGTCCTGTATTCCCTTAGACATTTATTCCTCTAACTGATCCTCTGTGGCCCCATTCTTCTGGCTGTGCCCTAGTCCATCTGACTGCTCCCTCGTCCCTAAGGGCCTTTCTTGTTCCTTCCAGCTGTCCCTGGTTCACATAGACTGACTTCTGGATTCCTCTGATTGTACTCTAGTCTTCTGATTCTTCCCTGTGTTCTTGGACAGTTCTAATATGGTGTCCCGTGATACTCATGCATCTGGTCCACGGACCCCACTTAGAGTAGTGCCAGTCTAGCTGGCTCCTTAGCCTGTACTCTCACCCACTAAAGTACACTACTTCTGAGACTTCCATGCCATCTCCTTACTCATATTACATCTGGCTATTGGCTGCTTCCTTTGGTTGTTTCCTGGGTGACCAGCCATTCCCATTTGTCCAGGAATTTCCCTATTTTAGCACTGAAAGTCCCCTGTTCCTTCAGTCACAGGCAAATGGGGAAGGGCCTGGGAACTCTGGCTGTTACCCAGCCTCCCATTGGCTTCCTCTACTGTGCCTAACCCCAGTGCATACTCCCCGGGCTCTGGCTGTTAACTCCCCTTAGTCACCCATATAAATTATCTGGCTCTTCTCTAGTCCCTCTCACTGGTCCCTAGGCTGCTGCTCCATACCAGATACACACTTAGTGTTCACCTGGCCTGTCTCCTAGTTCCCCTGGTTATTTCCTGGAACCTCTGGTTGACACTCTGCTCAAAAACATTTTTGCTGCTCCCTCTGGCTGCCCCAACCTCAGTGACTGCTCCTTGCTCCTGGTACTCTAGGCCATCCCTCAGTCTTCAAGGCCCCTCTCTCATTTCTCTGCCTGTTCCATGGTTTCCATCCCTATCCTAATCTCTCCTCCCATTCTACAGCCTCAGCAATTGTCTTCCGGTCTCTCTGGTTGCTACTCGTTCTAGGAGTCGGATTTCCCATTTCTTCTTCCCTGCCTTTCCCCTATGCCCTTGAATTTTCCTCTAAACCAAGGAATGCTCCCTGGTTCCTTAGGAATGCCCCTCAGCCTCATACCCAGCTCCTTGGATGTTTTTACTTTATCCGTTTTATCTGATCCTTCTGCTTCTTCACCCCTCTGGATGCTCCCTGCTCCATCTGGATGCTATCTGGTTCCTCTATTTCCTGGTCCCTCCTCCTAGCTCATGAGCCTTCTAATGCTTCTTTTGCTTTTGGCTCTTCCCTGCTCCCCAACAATCACCACTTACCCAGCCTCAACTGTTTCCTGGTCTCTGGCTGCTGCCCAGCATCTGACTCATAATTCCCAAATCTTGTTTGTTCCCTTGAGCCTCCACTTGTTCCCTGGGTCCCTTGGCTATTTGCCATCTCTAGTAAGTGCCCCTATGGTCCCTGCAGCTGTTTCCTGTTCTTTATTCCCTTGTGGTTCCCCTCAGCCCTCTTTCTCTTACTGAACCCTTTGCTTGCTCTCCAGCTTCAGCCCCTGTCTCTTGGTCCAATGGGTTGCTTCCTAACCCCTGGGGACACTTTTATTGGTTCCTTCGTATCTCCGCCTATACCCTGCTTCCTGACATCTAATAAAAAAACCAGAACCTAACAAATAAATAAGCAAATAACTAATATTCCCCAGGGTCTTGGTCATTTCCACCTCTTCTTGAGACGGTCAGAAATCTGTGGTTGAAAAGGAGTAGATGAATGGAGAACTGTGCCTTGCAGAGGCCACAATCGTTTGTCATAAATCCCCATACTAGCCGGGCTTGGTGGCTCAGCCTGTAATCCTGCGCCTTTGGGAAGCTGAGGTGAGTGGATTGCCTGAGCCCGTGGGTTCGAGACCCACCTGAGCAACTTGGCGAGACCTCATCTCTACAATAAATCAAAAAAACTAGCCGGGCGTGGTAGCGCGCGCCTGTAATTCCAGCTACTTGAAAGGCTGGGGCAGAAGGATTGCCGGAGCCCAGCAGGTCGAGGCTGCGGTGGCCGGGAGTGGCCACTGCACTCCAGTCTGGGCAATGGAGTGAGACTTCAACTCAAAAAAAAAAAAAAATCCCCATACTTCGGATGGGCAAGAGGCCACCTGCAGGACTGGGGAGGACCACATTGTCATGGCCCCCACCCATGGGTCCATGATGGATATGACTGAGCAGAGCTTAGGATGGAAGTGCACTACTGTCAAACATTGATTCATTTACCACTTAATGTCCCATTCCTTTGACTCAAAAATATAGCTGGAACAATGACTTGGGCAGAAAGATTTAAATACAGGAATTTTATCATAGCAGTTTTAATCACAAGAGAAAACCTGAAACACCATAAATGCAAATTGATAGTGGGCTACTTGTGGGGAACGGGGAGATGTTGGTTAAAGTGTACAACATTGGGTAACATCACAAGACCCTGTGATGGGTAACATCATTTTGTTAGAGGGAATATGTTTTTTGAGACCATAACATGGTGACTATAGTTAATGATGCAATGTATATTTAAAATTGCTAAGAAAGCAGATTTTAAATGTTCACATCACCAAAAAAAAAATGGTAAGTATGAGCTGGGTGCAGTGGCTCACGCCTGTAATCCCAGCGCTTTGGGAGGCCGAGATGAGAGCATTGCCTGAGTCCAGGCGTTCAAGATCAGCCTGGGCAACTTGTCAAGATCTCGTCTCTACAATAAATCAAAAAATTAGCTGGGTATGGTGGCACGCGCCTGTAGTTCCAGCTACTTGGAAGGTTGAGGCAGAAGGATCACCTGAGCGCAGCAGGTAGAGGTTATGGTGGCCGTGAGCGTGCCACTGCACTCCAGCCTGGGCAACAGAGTGAGATTCCAACTCGAGGAAAAAAAAAAAAAGAAAGACAGGTAAGTATGTGAGGTGATGGATACGCTAATTAGCTTGATTAAATCATTCTACAATGTGAACATGTATCAAAATATCACATTATACTCCATAAATATATACAGTTATGATTTGTCAATTAGAAATAAAATAAAAAATAGTGGACTGGCTAAATTATGTTCATCATAAGTGTATGAAGAAAAAATTCACTGCCTAGAAAATTATGTTAAACTGCTGAGTTAAAAAGGAGATAACCAAATAGCATGATTACATTTTAAAAACTTCGCTATACATGTGTGGGTATATGGTATGCATGCACACTCATAGCCTCCCCCCACCTCCACACACACACATACACATGTGCACATACAAAGGAAAAAAACAAGTGAAAGGAAATATAGCTAAATGTTAACACTGGTTAACTTCGGGTAATGCTGAAATTACAAGTACTTTTTAATTTTCTTCTATTTGCTAACCTGTCTTTTCTAATATATTATTTAAAAGGAGCTCTTCCCAGAGGTGAGACAGCGTCCACAGGCAGGTCTGAAAGGAGGGAGCTGTCGGGCAGGGTCTGGGTCGCTCATTGTCTTTCTCTGCTTACAGAGTCTCGAAGGAAAGGAACTCTGAGTGGGAAGCTTGGTCTTGGCTGTGGCGCAGTGAGGGTGGAGGACAAAGTGAGGAGATATGGCCCGGTCTAGTGCCATCACTGCCTACCTGAGAGGCCTGGTGAGTCACGCGCCCTCTCAGGCTATTTTATTCATCTTTGAAAGGAGGAGGAAGAGTTTGAAGGGCCCTAGAAACTGTGTGGCCCTACTACCCTGCCAGTCTCAAAGTTCCCAAGAAAAAGGCTGTTTCTGTCCCTAAATCAGGATAGAGAAGACATCAGCAGATCCTCAGAGACCAGAGGAAAAGGGGCTCTGGTAGGGATCAGCTGAGTGTCTGTAAAGAGCCAATGGAGAGTGAAAAAAGGCCTGTGCTGGGGTGGGAAGTAGCATCTCCCTGGCTATGGCTGGTGGCAGCTCTCACCTGGACATGGCCCTCAGGCACCCTGCAGGGCGCTGCCTCCCCTCCCCTAGGCTATGGGGCTGGACTCTCCACATTCCCCCTCCTCCATCAGCCAAGTCACATATTTCCACTGAAACACACAGGGCTCTGGATGTGGTGGCATCATCCACATGGTGCCCACTCTCAGCAGGGGGATCCTAATCTATTTCTGCTGCTTCTGTAACTCACCTGCCCCTGCCTGAGGCCCTGGGGACAGGTAAGGGGTATCTCCTCACTGGATGAATTGTTGTACCTGAGGTCCTCTCCCTCCTCACCTCACATGAGCTGCCATGTCCCTTTGCAGCCAGAGCTGGAGACCACAGGGGAGAGTCCCTGCTAGCTGCCATGTTTGCACTGGACCTCAGCCCTCAGGCTCTTTTGCTGACAACTGCACTCTTCCCAAGAGCTGGAAGCCGAGCTGGCATCTGTCGACTCAACCGGAGCTTCTGGGGCGAGGTGAGCTGGGGTTGAAAAGAAGATCTGCAGTTTCCACTAAGGGGCCTGGGCCCTGGACTCTGCAGTGGCTCCAAGAAACCCTGGAAAGACAGGGTCCACATGGTCAGTCACTCCACATTTACCGACAAACGCTTCCTGAGGGCGCCAAGGGGCAGCTCACTGTGCTGGATGCTGCAGAAAAGTTCTATAAAACCAACACCAAATATTAGAGTGGAATATGAGGAAAATTCGTGTGGTTGGGTAGAAAATGAATGAGGGTTCATATCCCAGCTCTTCTATATCCTAGCTAGAATTGGGAAGTCACCTTATGCTGAGTTTCTTCACTTTAAAACAAGATGAAAACACCTTGTCTCGTAGGGTTGTTAGAGCTCAATGAAATGCTGCTTCCACAGCACACACACCTACCTGGCACCTAGAACATGCTCAACTAACATTAAATACTGCTATTATTATATGGTGCAAGGCTACCCATGTATGTCTCCAATAAGTTCTCTTCAAGGACTCCCCAAAATTGTCATTCACTGCCCTTATTTGAATGACACCTATAGACTCTGGATTATCTAATCTTATTGAACCCTAACTCACTGATCCTTCTCCACAGAAATCTCCCCAAACCTTGACTCCCAGGGGAATCCAATCAATCCCAAATCTGGTTTGGCATTGAATTTAAAGGATAACATGAAAATCTAAAACATTTCCAGGCAGAAACAACATTTATTTACAATCAAAAGGGATCACCATGGCACTAGACTTTTTTCTTTCTCTTTTTTTTTTTTTTTTTTTTGAGTCAGGATCTCACTCTGTTGCCCAGGCTGGAGTGCAGTGGCACGATCATGGCTCACAGCAGCCTCCGCCTCCCGGGCTCAGGTGATCCTTCTGCTTCAGCCTCCAGAGTTGCTGGGACTACAGGTGCACATCACCACACCTGGCTAATTTTTGGATTTTTTTTTTTTTTGTCTTGTTGTGTTGCCCAGGCTGGTAGACTTAAAATTCAAAAAAAAAAATTAGAGACAGGGTCTTGTGACATTATCCAGACTGGTCTTGAACTCCTGAACTCAAGTAATCCTCCCACCTTGACCTCCCAAAGTGCTGGGATTACAGGTGTGAGCTACCACACTCGGCCTACCATGATTTAAAAAAAAATTTTTTTTGGGCGCTCAACTGTTTATTTGCAACAATAGAAGCCATTTTAGCAGAAAACATCAACAAATTATTGAGAGAAAAGGACTGAGATCCAAGAATTTTAAACCCACCCTACCTAGATACCATTCTTCTGTCGGAGCAAAAGAAAGACAATTTTAGACATAAAAGCATTTATTGCATAACATGACAATATTCCAATTTCAGGAGAACACTCAAGGGAATAGTTTAAACAATTATAAAAATAGTAATAGAAGGCCGGACTTGGTGGCTCAGCCTGTAATCCCAGCGCTTTGGGAGGCCAAGATGAGTGGATTGCCTGAGTCTGCGGGTTCGAGACCTGCCCGGGCAACTTTGCGAGACCTCATCTCTACAATAAATAAAAAAAAAAAAATCAGCCAGGCATGGTAGCACGTACCTGTAATTCCGGCTACTCGGAAAGCTGAGGTGGAAGGATTGCTGGAGCCCAGCGGGTCGAGGCTGCGGTGACCAGGAGTGTGCCACTGCACTCCAGTCTGGGCGACAGAGTGAGACTCCAACTCAAAAAAAAAAAAAAATAGTAACAGTAACCTCAAAATACGAGGAAAGAAGTTTTGAGATATGTTTCTTGTAACTGATATATAATTATATCTGAATAAATAAAAATAATGTAATTGGCTATTATTATTATTACTAAGTGGAAATTTTTAAATACCCTGGGAAAAGTTACTAAGTGAAATGAGGAGGAGAAGGCAAATTATGCATCTCCATGGGCAGATATTTGTATAATATTATTTGGATTTAATAATATAGAAAAAATAATCATATTTGTAAGGAAGGCAAAGGCAACTACAAACAGAAATTGATTAAAAAAATCAAAATTCCAAACTATCAAAATTTAAAAATGACAAAAATCTAATGGGAGATTTAAGAAAAATGACCAAGTCAGCAAAAATAGGAAAAGGGAAAGACAAGAGATATCAACTAAGTAAAATAAATAGCAAGTATAAAATAATAGGAGGCATAAAATCAAGTATATCATAATGCAATGAAATAGAGTGAGCTGGGCACGGTGGTTCACGTCAGTAATCTCAGAACTTTGGGAGGCAGAGGTGAGAGAATTGCCTGATCCCAGGGGTTTGAGACCAGCCTGGGCAACTTGGCAAGACCTTGTCTTTACAATACATCAAAAAATTAGCCGGGTGTGGTGGCGTGTACCTGTGGTTCCAGGTACTTGGAAGGCTGAGGCAGAAGGATCACCTGAGCCCAGCAGGTTGAGGCTGCAGTGGCTGTGAGTGTGCTACTGCACTCCAGCCGGGGCAACAGAGTGAGACTCCAACTAAAAAAAAAAAAAAAAGAAAAAAAAAAGAAAAGAAAAGAAATTGAATGAGCTGAATTCTGCTCTGAAAGATAAAGACGATTAGATTGGGTCAAAAAACAAAATGCAGTCACCACACATCTAAAACAAAGATGTGAAATGAAGCACTGGGCAGAAATACACCATATTATTTATCATCCTTTCCTTTGTAGTTGGCAGGCATTGTGTCTTGTTAGGAAATCTTTGCCTACCTCAGGGTCATAAAGATGTTTAATGTAAACCTTTTATTGTTTTAGCTTTCACATTTAGATCTACAATCCATCTGGGAAGGATTTTGGTGTACGTGGTATGGGCTAGGGCGAAGATTCATTTCTACTACATGGAAGCAAGATGATCCAGCACCATTTACTGAAAAGACTACTCTTCCTCCACTGCCCTGCAATATCTTCTTGTGACTATATATGTGGGGGTCCATTGCTGAGCTCTGTATTGCCATCGGTCTTTTTGTCTGTTCTTGAACCAGTATTATACTGTCTCCATTAATGCACTTCACATTAAGTCCTGATATCTGGCAGAATAAAAGATTGCTAAATTGGGCTACATTAAAATTAAGGGCTTCTGTTCATCAGAAGACAAAATTAAAAGTGTAGCGGCAAATCCCACAGTGGGAGAAGATAACTGTAATACATGACTCTGACAAATGATTCATATCTCAAATATATCAGTAATTTCTAGAAATCAGTAAGAGTAATATAAAAAGGGTAAAAGGAATAGGCACTCCACACACACACACACAAAATCCAAATGCCAAATAAGCTTAGGAAAAGATGCTCAACTTCATTAGTTAGCAAGAAAATAGAAATTAAACTACAATAAAATAATCCTGGGCTGGGCGCAGTGGCTCAAATTTGTAATCCCAGCACTCTGGGAGGCTGAGGGGAGAGGATTGCCTGAGCCCAGGGATTCGAGACCAGCCCGGGCAACTTGATGAGACCTTGTCACTATATAAAAAAAAATTAGCTGGGCATGGTAGTGCGTGCCTGTAGTTCCAGCTACTTGGAAGGCTGAGGCGGAAGGATCACCTGAACCCAACAGATTGATTCTGGGGTGTCTGTGAGCTTGCCACTGCACTCCAGCCTGGGCGACAGAGTGAGACTCTGACTCAAAAAAAAAAAAAAAAATCATCAAGGGCAATCCCCTCGGGTCTCCTCCCACTGTGGGAGGTTTTCTGTGCTCTCAGTAAATCCTGCTTTAAAAAAAATGATTGCCGGGTTTGGTGACTCGGCCTGTAATCCCGCGTCTCGGGAGGCCGAGGTGAGTGGATTGCCTAAGCCCACGGGTTAGAGACCCGCCTGGGCAACTTGGCGAGACCTCATCTCTACAATAAATCAAAAAATCAGCCGGGCACTCCAGCCTGGGCAACAGAGTGAGACTCCAACTCAAGAAAAAAAAAATCAAACTAAATATGCACAATGTGTGCACTTTTCTGCGTCATATTTCGATAATGATTTAAAATTATATAACATACCAGGCAAAAGCAAGAAAATGAAAGCAGGCTTGAAAATATAATTACTGAGATGGAAATTAAGGTCCAAAGCACTCAACAGATTAACAAAAAAGGGGAGCCTCTTTTAGTAATAAAATATATAATTAAGAAGTTGTATAAACCTTTAGGGTCATTCAACAAATGCAAATAAAACCAGCACAAATGCATGGAACCACATGAAGTCTTAAAAATCATAATTGTTTTTGTATTTAACAAGTATTGGCATTATAGTCATGCCAGTTTTTAAAAGGAAACCAGGAGATTTCTATCTTTTTATGTGTTAAAATGGTATAGATATTATCTTCTTTAAAGGTCTTCCATAAACACATTTAGAACTGGTGCCTTTTAAAACTGGTAAATTTTAACTACTTTCCTCTGATTTTTGGTCTTTACCAATTGCTGGAGAGGATGCAGAGGATACACTGCCAGTAGAAATGTAAAGTGGTATAGCCACTCTGGAAAGTAGTTTGACAGCTTCTTTTAAAACTAAAATACTCATCACAAGATCCAGCAATTGCACTTCTGGGCATTCATCCCAGAGAAATGAAATCTTATTACACAAAAACCTGCACAAGATTGTTCATTGCAGCTTGATTTGTAATAGCGCCAAATTGGAAACAAACAACAAAAAGTGGCCCTCAATAGGTGAATGGTTAAGCAAACTATAGTACATCTGTAATATGGAATGCTACTCAGCAATAAAAAGAAATGAACTATTGTTGCTGGCAACAACTTAGATGGTTTTCAAGGGTATTATGCTGAGTAAAAAAACAATCTCAAAGGCCACAGATTGTATGGTTTAATTTATATAACAATTTTTGGGGTTTTATTGAGTTGGAGTCTCACTCTGTCACTGAGCCTGGAGTGCAGTGGCATACCCATGATCACTTCAGCGTCGACTTGCTGGGCTCCGGTGATCCTTCTGCCTCAGGCTTCCAAGTAGCCAGAACTACAGGCATGTGCTACCACATCTGGCTAATTTAAAAAAATTTATTGTAGAGACACGGTCTCGTCAAGTTGCCCAGGCTGGTCTCGAACCTGCAGGCTCAGGCAATCCACTCGCCTCAGCCTCCCAAAGTGCTGGGATTACAGGCTGAGCCACTGAGACTGGCCTTATATAACATTTCCAATATGTCAAAATGATAGAGATGAGAAACAGATGATTGGTTGCCAAAGGTTAGAGATGGTGGTGGGGTTAAAGACTCTATAAAGGGGTAATAGTTCTGTATCTTGATTGTGGTGGCCATTACATGAATCTACACACATGGTAAAATGTCACAGAACTAAGCACATCCTCGTATCAATGTCAAATTCTAAATTTTTATATTGTATTATGATTCTATAAGATGTAACCATTGGGGAAAATTGAATGAGGGTACATGGGACCACTGTACCATATTT